CAAATAAGCAATGTATGCTGCAAACTGGGGCCTAGATTTTTCACTGACAAAGAAGGGAGTTATGTATAAAGCGGAGGCTAGAATGAAACTTGTGTTATCAGACTGTAATTAGCAGTAGTAGCATGAATGTATGTCTTTTATCAGGAAACAGGGGTGTGTGTGTATATACACACTAATATACTCACATTACTTCCTAGTTCTGCCCAATGGCAGTCCAGAACCAGAGAAACCCCCACAGCAATGAACACATCTGATGCCAAGATTTTTGGTTTTTAAATATCCATCTCTACTTAGAAGCAGCAAGTTACCCTGGAGAAATTTGGATTCCCAGACTGTGGCAGAGAAAGCAGAAAATGAGCCTTGATCATCTTACCAGAAAGAAAGAAGTTCTCAAAATGGGGATATGTCCATTGTACACAAAACCAGCCTGAGGGACAATCACTGGCTAAATCTAGGACAATTTTAGCACCAAAATAAGGACTAAGTAACACATGATAGGTATTAAAATAAGAATTCATGAATCCATGCTGTATTTTTAATTTTATTTTTTTATATTGATGTTTAAAATGCAAAAATAAATAAAAGCAATAGAGAGGGCTTTTATATTAGAATGCCAACTAATAAATTTAGACAGAATAATGGAATATCACTATTCAGCAACCACCATAATAACAACTATTAGGCAAAATTATCAACAGATATTAAATGAGGGAATAAAAGTTTGATGAGAAACAGGATATCCATAAATTGGCAAAGTATCTCCCCAAAAAACACTTAATTAACTACAAAGGGAACAACAGTAACTCAGTGCAAAACCTAGCAGACACCACCTTAAACGAGTGATCAAAAGGAACTTCTTCAGTTAATTCTGTTTACGTAGATATCATAAGTCTCCTGAGAGGATGCCCTAAGAAGGAAACATCACTGCTGTGGTATTTCTGTCAAAATTTAATTTGGATCTAATCATGAGGAAACATCAGACATTAGACACACACATACATATATATACACCTATACATTACATGTATATAATTATATACAATGCAATACGGAAGTGTGTGTGCACATACATATAATGATAAAATATGGGTAAGATATTACCATTTGGTGAAAATGCAGGAAACATTTATAAGGATTTGTTGCACTGAAATTTACAAATTATCAAGCTAATTGATAATATAAAACAAATCCTTCCCTTAAAGACAGTGAGAAATGTGACAAGCAATGAAGTAGAAAAAACAATTATGAACATAATATGATCTCAACAACACTAAAGCTACACATAGGAGAACGTATATAATGATTACCTCTGGGTGATAAGATATAGTGATATTTTCCTACTCTACCTTCTAAAATTAAAACATAATACTTCACAGGAAAGAAGAGTTTAGGAAGTAATGGTAACGAATATTGCTAAGTCACAGAGATTGGGAGCAATGACCACATCATTTAGAAATTAGTAAGACACAGCTTTTTCAGAGACTGACCAGCTGAGTGATTGTGTATGGAAGAGTCAGTACATGCAACAGAATACTACTGATCTTGCAATCTAAAACCCAAAGTCCAAAATCAGCTATGTTGATCTCCTTGTGGGACCCTGAGTAAATCATTTAATCTCTTTTTAAAGAAAGAACATATTAAGTGTTGTGTTTTCGGATAAAGCTGGACTGTGACTTATGCAAGATAATGTTTGCAAAAGAAAGTGAAGGTAATATTTTAATCAAATGGTAAATACCAATTGGATTTAAAAATAAGTACAAAATGAAGAAACATAAAAGACAAATAGTTCTGAACAACTCTGAAACTTTTCTACATTTGTTAGATTAATTTCTTAGGTCTACAAAAGAACACAAAACATACAATGTCCACTTATGGGGAGTTGTCTTCTTGATTCCCCACCTTTGCCTGTAAATGTAGCTTAAGCTGGTCCCTCTCTCTTTTCACATCACTTATTTCATTCATCGAAACGTTCATTTATGGGTCGCCTGGGTGGCTCAGTTGGCTAAGCATCTGACTTCAGCTCAGGTCATGATCTCATGGTTCATGGATTCAAGCCCCGTGTCGGGCTCTGTGCTGCCAGCTAGCTCAGAGCCTGGAGCCTGTCTTTGGATTCTGTCTCCCTCACTCTCTGACCCTCCCCTGCTCACACTGTCTCTATCTCTCTCTCAAAAATAAATAAAACATTAAAAAAAAATGTTCATTTATTACATTATAGATGATTCACTGGCTCTTTCCAACCTCCACATCTCAAATAACTACTGTTAAGTCACCTCAAGCTAAAGGCGATCACTGTGATTAAAAGCAAATAACCTCCAGCTGTGTTTCTGTTCTTGTTTTTAGCTACTTTCAAATGACCTGATCTTTCTGTGCTTTTCCTATTTATACTATGTTATTAACTTATTCACAAATTTGTAGGCAAGAAATAAGTTGGTATTATAAAAACTTCTAGAATAATTTCCTATTTAGAGTGATGGTGATGATATGATGATGATTAAAGATGGGCATATGGCAAGCAATTAATAACACAGTTAATTCTCTTTAAAGGTCTATTCTCTACATGGCTAACTTTTAAAATGCTACTCCTCCTTCAAGACAAAGCTGAAATGTTGTCTCTTCTTGATACCTTCTCCAATGATTCCATAGTGAAAAGTACTCATTTTATCATGAGTATATTCTATTATATTCATATATATTCTACTGTTACAGCATTACCTAATTTTTAAAGTTGCATTTATGCATTGTATTATGCTATCTACATATATTGTATCCACTACTAGATTGCTTTTGAGTTCCAAAAATGGAATCCTTGTCTTTACACTGCAGTAGAGTCCCATATATCTTATACACAGTCAGTGATCATTAAGTGTTTAGCTTAAACAATTTAATTTCAGGCCCTTCTGTTTTTGACATTGATATATATTTGGGCAGTACGTGTATAAATAGATTCTTCTGACTATACAGATAGTTGACTAGTTGATAGTCTATATTGAACATATTATACAAGAAGAAACCTAGGTCCAATAATTTTAAAAATTCATTTTAATAAACTGTCAAGTTCAATATAGTAAAACGACAATAACCCTTGAGATGCCTAACAGGTCTAATGATATAGCAAGGAAAGAGTGCAGAACTACTTATATGGCTTCAACAAAAGGAAGAAGTTTCAGAAGTCTTCTGAGAAAATAATAAAACTACAAATGCAGATGTATGGATTGCCAAGCCAGGAATCTACTCAAGGTATTGTCTATTGAAGACTTCAAAGGGCAGTTTACATTACATAATAATACACAAAAGTTATACCTAATAGTGTCTTTTCAAATTCTGTGGTTTGTACTTTTGAGTTTTATGGTTTTCATTTTCGAAATGCTAGGTTTTGACTTAAAGGTCTAGTGAGGCCTAAGAGATACAGAACAATGTGATATCAACTAATATTTCAAAAAGTATTTGCTGTCAATCCAGTTAGAAAAGCCACATTTTAATAACCCTATTATTAATTTGTACAGATTTCTAATGCTTTTTCTTTATTAGAATGGTTTTCTAATTTCATTTCCTAACAAGCCATTGTAGATAAAAATACTACTACACACCTGGAACTTTCAAAACCATTTTCTATACCAACACTTCCTTGCCCAGGTCAGTTTTAACATAAACACACCTGCTGGTTAACAGAAATTCAGTTAAGCATAATTTCATCCCTCCATTTTAACCTTCACGATGTAGGAAGTAAAACTTTTTTTAACACCATTTCGCAGATGACACAGTACAGGTACAAACCAAATGGAAACTTTTCAAAGTCTGTGGGCTAGTGAAGGGCTAAGTAACATGGCCAAGTTTAAGCAACTGGCAAGAAACTGAGCAAGTTTGACTCTAGAACTCAAGCTCTTGCCTTCTATTCCACCATCCTACAACATACTAGACAAACTAAGTTTAAAAAATTTTTTGTGACATAGATGAAAACTGCCAACACGTGGTCAAGTTTTCATTTAAATAGTATGGTCTTAGGGGGACCCTGTGGGGCTCAGTGGGTTAAGCGACCCACTCTTGATTTCGGTCATGAGGTCATGATTCCTGGGTTCGGGGTCCCCCTGTCAGAACAGAGCCTGCTTGGGATTCTCCCTCTCTCTCTGCATCTCCCTGGCTCTCTAATAAACTTTAAAAATAAGAAAGTACATAAATAAATAGTATGGTCTTAGAAAACAATGATTATCTGCTACTTACTCATAAATTGCAGCTCAAATTTAATCTGAAGACCGTTTACTTTCTGATCATACACTTAGGTTCACCACGTGACTAACAGCAACAGCTCTGGTAATGTTTTGTGTATCGATCCTGAAAATCCACAAAACTCACTGCACTCCACCGTTTTTAGGAGTAGGTAACCTCATTAAGAAGGAAATAACGTATTGCTCTGAAAGTGACCAGTAAACCATGTGGCAATATTACCAATACCTAGGCTTTGTGTTTTTCTCTCAAACTGTCTAAATTACTTGAGCATAACCCATTCCAGTCCTATTCGTCTTTTTTAACAACGATGTTACTATACTATTATCCTCCCTTATAAACACTTCCATGTTTTTTCTATAACACTTATCCACAGGGTCTTAGAATAATAAAACTAAAACTGTCATAAATGCCTTAATTTCAATCTGCTCCTTTAGAAAATGTAAAAGGACACTGTCCGGCATAGCTGCTTCCTGAAACTTAACAAAAGATAACAGTCTACGAAGATAGAGCCTAAAGTGTTTCAAGAAGCGAATGGAAAAACCACCGATGCGGAGGCCCTAAGGCTCAAGAGGCTGGCGGCCGCGACCCTCCGGGTACACCCGGAGGGATTTGCAAACGGAAGGACCGGTGGACAGAGCACCTTCCGTCACCCCCAGAATTCCCAACTTGCCGGGGGAGAGGGAAAACCGAGGCGACGGGAGGTTCCGCTCCAAAGTGGCGGACGCAAGGCCGGCAGGGTCAGGAAACAGGCAATAAACGAAGGCAATGAAACTAACCCCAGACACACAGAAGGGCTAATGGTGACAAAGTGCGGCGCCGCGGGGTCCCGAAGCACGCAGCGCGACGCCTCTCGCCCGCCGGAGGGGCGCGGGGTCAAAGGCCACCCGCAGAAGCCGCGAGCGCATTGGCTGGCGGAGGAGCGCGCAGGCGCCGGGGGAGGGTCCCGTACCGGCCGCAGCCGCCTCTGCGGGGCCCTGAATCTTCCGGCTACTCACCAGGGAATCCGGCCACCAGCAGACGCTCCGGCCAGAGCCGTGAGGGTTGAGAGAAGAGGGAGATGGGGTGGAGAGAGCCCGCAGCCTCCGGTCCGCGCGCCCAATCAGCCCCGCCTCCCAAAAGACGCGCGCGGAGCCTTCCGGCAGCCCCGGGGGGCGGGGCTTGGACGCCGGGCTCCGCGAGCCAGCGGGGAGCAGGCTTTCCCCTCAGGGGCTCCTCTTATCTGCGAGGGTCCGGAGGGGCGGGAACGATTGAGGGAAGAGCTTTTCCGCGCGTTCTGTGCTGGTGGAGAAAAGGGGTGGAGCGGATGCTGGCTGGACTCCCAACCTCGGTCTCTGACTGGAGATAACCCGCCCCCTCTTAAAAACGGGTCTTTCTGGGGCGCCCGGGTGGCTTAGTCGGTTAAGCGTCCGACTTTCGTCAGGTCATGATCTCGCGGTTCGTGGGTTCGAGCCCCGCGTCGGGCTCTGTGCTGACTGCCAGCTCGGAGCCTGGAGCCTGTTACAAAAAAATTCTGTGTCTTCCTCTCTCTCTGACCCTCCCCTGTTCACGCTCTCTCTCCTAGAAATAAATAAAACATTAAAAAATTTAAAAAAAAAAACGGGTCTTCCGAGGTTCCTCTGAGAAACTCACTGATAGAGGGCAGCTGGGTTTGGTGTGGCCTTCCGAAGTCGCTTTGATGAGATTGCTCTCAGACTCTTTGAGAAACAGTTTTGTCTTAAAAAAAAAAAAAAAATCGGGAACTTTTTAAAAAAGCCCTAAGTAGAGAGATGAAAGTGGCATTAAATTTTCAGATGTATAAACTCACATTTGGTCTGGAGTGTAGAAATAATTGAGAACAATGAGTCAGGTGTGGAGAATAAGTACTTGGGAGGTAGAGGTTACGGCTGAGGGTTTCCATCTTACATCAGCCTCAGAAGCCAAGAGAATTCTCTTATTTGTTTGGTTACATAGAAACAAGGAAATCCCGACTCACAGTCTAGAACTTGCTGATGTGAACAGTTTTGTAAGAGCTGCCCTTAAAATCATACTGGGTTTTTAAAAAGAGTATTATTGTGAAATCTGTATATATGAATGCATCCCATATATGCACATTATAAAGAATAATAAAAAGAATGCCTTGGTACCCACTACAGAGCTGAAGATGGAAAATACCAGTATTTTTGAAGCCTTCTGGGAAGTCCTTTCCATTTCCCTCCCAGACACAAATAAACATGCTAAATTTTGTACTACTTATTTCCTTGCATTTTTTAATATAGTTTTGTATGTATAATTCCCTAAAAATATACTTATCTTGGTGATGTATATTTTATAAGGAATCATACAACATTTTCTAACTTCTTTTTTCACTACACTTTTGGGTTTTGAGATTCTTCTATACACAGGTACATTTCACATGGACTAGGCTGGCACATGATTATCCGTATAACTTAGTATTTTTAGAGTTTAAAATTTTTGCCTGGCAATATCCTCTTTCAGTTTGCTCTTTTAGTTTACATTAACCCCCTTGCCAGTGAAGTTGTGCATCTTTATAAATGCTTAGAAGCTATTTGGGTTTCTGTGAAATGCCTGTTCTCAATTTTGACTCACTTTTTATAGGCTTGTTGCTTTTGAAAATTAATTTGTAGATAATCTTTATATATTTTTAAAGTTTAAGTACTTCTCTTTTGTTGGTTATATGTGTTTCAAATAGCTTCTCTCAGTTTGTGGGTCTTCTTTTAACTTTCTATGGTCTCTTTTGATAAACAAAAGCTGTATATTTTACAGTACTGTACATTATAATTTCATACTTTTTGCTCTCTTGTTTACAAGAGTCTTCCCAACCTTAGACCATAAGATTTTCTCTTTCATTTTCTATATTTTTAAAGTTCAATTTCGAAGTACTTTCAGACACAGAAAAATACAGATAATAACATAATGAACACCCATGCACTCAACTCTACATATTGAAAAATTTTTCAAGCCCGTCTTTCTTTTGATTCTTCTCTAAAATTGCCTTAACTACTCTTGGCTCTTGGCTCTTTCATATAAGCTTGAGAATGAGTCCATTAAAATCCATAAAAAGCCCTATTTGGATTTTGATTGGAATGGAATTGACTTTATAGATTAATTTAGCAAAAAAATTTATCAGTGAACATGGTAGAATTACCCATTTATTTATAGTCTGTAATGCTTTGTGTTTTATTAAAGTTTTATGCAACTTTTATTACACAAGGTCTTCGATTTTATTCCTAAAATTGGAGCTATCCTTCTTTAAGTTATATTTTCTAATTGGCTATTAATGGCTTATAAAAAGGGCATCAATTTTTGTATATTGGTCTCATATCCATAAAACTTTGCTGATTTTTTTTGTGTTTGCTTTGTTACTTTGTTACCTCTCTGGATATTTATATAAATATCCAGGTTTTATATAAATAACCATATTATGTATAAATAAGGGTAATTCTTTTCCTTCTTTTTCATTTCTTAAACCACTTATTTATTTTTCTTTTCTTTCGTATTAACAGGACCTTAATGTTTTAAACCTTTCTTTTTTTTTTTTTTTTTTTCGGGGAGGGACAGAGAGAGGAAGAGAGAGAGAGTATCCCAAGCCGATTCCTTACTGTTTGTTAGTGCAGAGCCCAATGTGGGTCTCAAACTCACAAACCACGAGATCATAACCTGAGCCAAAATCAAGAGTTGGATGCTTAACCAGCTGAGCCACCCAGATGTCCCATACAATGTTAATGGAAATAATGATAGCATCTTTATCTTGTCCCTGACTTTACTGCAGTATTTCTAAAATTTTATCATGAAATATAATGTTTGTTATTGGCTTTTGATAGATACTTTATCAGGTTTATTCAGGTTTCTGTTTCTAGTTGCTAATTTTTAAAATCAAGAATGACTATTTTATTAAATTTTTTCTTCATGTTTTGAAATAATTATTATTCCCTCCTTTGAATTTTATGGGAGTTATTAATAAATATTCTGATGTTGAATAAAAAAAGGTTATTTTATGGCATAAATATATCAATGCATGCCTCCTTTTTAAAAATGGTTTGATTATGCCTGCCAGCGTAAACAAATTAGGGTAAATAGATTCTCATTGCATCGCTTTTCCACCCATCAGATTCAATGTATAACAATATTTATAAACTGGATTGGGATCACAGCTAAGGACCGTTCCTATAACTCTGACTGTTCTAATGGTCCCATGTCCCTTGCTAATAGCAAGAAATGTTGAAATATCACTTATATTTCATAACGTTATCCTTTTTTTTCCACATCACTTTTTTTCCAAAGTGTTTTTGTGTAGATTACTTAATTATTGGGAGGTATGGTAGTAATATTTTGTTGTAACAATCACAAAATTTTTACGTGCTAAATCTTGAATTTCTCAAATATAGGATGGCTGTAATTCCTGCCAAGTTCAATTGTCTATTTTTCATATATACTTTAAGTAAACAAGTAGCACTGGATGAATATGCCGTTCATCTAAAGATGGATTCCCAGAAGGAAAAAAGTGAGAGCTGCATGTAAATTGATTTTGTGTAGTAAACAGGCATTTTAAATGTATTGCATCAGGGTGGTCAGGGAAGAATGGGGAGAAAAAATACAAATTTCCCTTATCAAATTCTTGTTGAGAACTACTCTAACACATTAGACTAATAGTAGCCTTTGGCTTCTCCTAATTACCATCTATTATTATAATAGTCTCCACTCGACAAGATCCTTGGGGTTGATCTTGTCTTGCTACTAGCAAAACAGCATCCATTTCTCTTTTGGCATTTGCAGTAAAGATGCTTCTTATTTCCCAGGCTTGTGCAAACTTGTATACCTACAGCCATCCTTTTCCCTGTCTCTACTTCAGTGAGCCTCAGAAACATACAAAATATACAGTGTGTGAGAAGGTATACCAATTAGTATAAGTGTTAGTTGCACAAAACAGAATACTCAAATAAAAGTTCACATTTTGTCAGAGAAAATAATATTTCATAAAATTGAAGCAAATAGACTTCTTAGAATATACATTGTGGGCCCTGTGGCTGTGACAATCCCAGACCCTGTGTGGTACTTTCTAAGGTGTTAAGGAGATCAATATTCTGCATACATTTAACACATTACTGGCACCCTGAATGAGAAGCTCTTCCCTAGCTATTTGAATTCACTTCACTACAACACATCACCATTAAGGAGTCTTGGGGGAACTGGGGCTCTAGCAATTATGCTGGTGGGATGATAGAAGGCATGATGTGTGCTCCTGTGGTTTGTGGATGGCATGGGAAGTCATCCATCAGGGGAGAGAACTAGGTTTGGACAACCTCCTTACCAGTGCTGTATAAGTCTTCCATAGACTAGGATTATTACTCAGTTCTGCATCTTGTAATTTTATCGTATAGCCTAGTGCATCTCTTTCTGGTTGTTTTCTTCTCTTGAAATAACGGGAGACATGGAAAAGGGTGAGACATCAATGTCCTACTGACCATGAGAGATAAGTTTTGACATGTCCCTTATGTTTGTTTAGTGAGTGTACACCACTTCATGCTTTAAATTCTATTTTCTATTTGGTTACAGTCACAAGAGGACTATCAGAATTGTAGCAATAGAATTTAAATCCAGATCTGTATATTTTAGGAAGAAGGGCTTTCTGAGAGTGCGAGTTGATAGGTGCATAGGGGCAGCTGGGTCAAGTGGTAACTAGCGGGGCAGATTTTCTCACCAGTCTTTTTGCTTCATATGTAGATTTTCCACTCCCCTCTTTTGGGTACTATATTATTTCATGGTAAAATCATAAATTTATCATTAACCATAACTAGCAAATAGGTATGTGGCCTTAAGACATAAAACACTGCCCTCAGTACTGACACTT